GTGCACTGCAAAAGGAGAGAGATACTATCCCCTATTATAGTGTGTGTGGGTAAGAGAGAGAGAGAGAATGTGCCTTCAAATGGCCTGTTGACATATGAAAAGCCCATGAATATTATAGGGTTTTCTTAAGCAAGGAATACTCAGAGGGGATTCCTTCCTCTGAAGTATAGCTTACAGCACTAAATAGTACACTGCAAAAGGAGATACTATCCCTTACTATTCTAGAACTGTATAATATAACTTAGTTATGCTTGGTTACTCCAAAATTTGAATCATTTATTTATGTTTGTTTATTTGTTTTTTTAACTGGTTAATTCCAAGTTACGCCACAGAATACAATACCAAACCACATTTCATACAACATTATCATTTTTGCTGCAGAGATTCAGAATTTTCCAAGAATGAACAAGCAAGCAAATGAGAAAAGCCACACTCCACCACCACCACCCCGATAACAAATTAAACGCTGATGTACAATTCAGATTCCTCTTTGTGCTAACAATTTACCACATTTTCTACATCCTATGCTTGATCTGTAGCATATAAATTGGCTAATAATTCATTACATCTATATTAAGCCTACCAATAAAAGATACTGCCCTTGATACATGTAGCAGTTATTCAGAATCCAGCTGAGAAGGCTCTTTAGAACTGAGACGAGCTAAAGTTATCAATTCATTGGTCCCCCCCCCCCCCAATATAACCTGCAATTGGTATTATAATGGCTTTTGTATGCATTTATGTCTTTTCGGCAGGTAATTCTACTATGTTCTGATAACACCACTGAGATAAAACAAAGCTATGCAACAGTGGAAAGGAAAATTCTTCTCCCTATTGCTATTCCTCCCTCAACCCTGGGCCAGATTTTACTGAATGCACTTGCAGGCTCCCCAGAGCATCTCTGGTGTACAAAATACTGTCCACAAGGCAGACCAGACAAGGGCAAGGTGGTCACTCCAATGTCAGTGCAGTAGTGAATCCACTCCAGGTTTAGTCCAAGCTTTAAAGAGGAGGCTGAAACCTGTCCCCAATCAGGATTAGCACTTTGGATAGCTTCTTTAATAGTCAAACCTTTAGATTCACTTTGGAGGCATTTCCCATTTTATCTCACTTCAGCCAGTTTTTTGAATTGCATATATTAATTATATATGCAATTATAGCCTGCAAATGACCTGAACATGACATCTTATGACTGTTGCATGAAAAGCTAGCCTACACAAGAAAACAACAATAACATACAAGTACCATCTGAAATAATTCTGGGAGCTGGGCATCTGTGACAACATTTAGAGACAGGTTTCCACTGATCAAGAGCTCTAAGTCACAACCAAATAATCACTGAGTTTACCCACATAGTAAGATTTGTTTTTACAATGGCTCTATATATCCAGCTGCTTTTCAAAACTGGAAAGATTTCAAAAACAATCTGCAATGCCAAATGTCCCATTAAGCATGTAGAAACCCCTGGGCATTCTGAAAGGTGCTCTCCGGGTCATGCACCTAATGGCTGCCCAAAAAATCAATATTTGAATAATTAAAAGGCCCAAACATTTCACAAGCATGACAAAAAGTTTTGCTGAAACACCTGATGCAGAAAGAAACAAATGATTCTGTAGCAACACCAACAAATGCTATTAGAAACATAAATCTAGAAATCTTACAGCTAGTGGTTCAAGCATCTACTGGCTTACATTAAGAAGCCTGTTTTCCCACAGTATCTTTCATGGTGCATCTACACCATCAACTGGACTTTCGTGAGACATTTTCTAATTTAGAGTACAACACTATACACACTACAGGGCCTAAATACCCTGTAGGCACCAGATTCCATGGGATCTTGGAAAGTAAACAGGGTCAACCAAGGAGCTTATTGCACATGCTTTTTTGCCTGATCTGGGCATGAGCTGGGACAGGTGTTATTGCACACAAAACTGCTGCTGTGCTGCTGCCCGTTCTTCAGCTGTGATTTCCATACCACCAAAATCTGCAGACTAAGCACAGCTGAGGGACAGGTGGTAGTCGGGCAGCAGTGCAGCAGCAGTTTCATGTGCAATAACACCATCCCATCCCAGCCCAATCCCAGCCCATGCCCAGATCAGGCAAAAATGACATGTGCAACAATCTCCCAAGTTAGGATTTAGATGAAGACTGCCAATGAATATGAAATAGAGCTGTAGGTTATATTTCAGAGGAAGGAACTGGAAAAACCTTCTCTGCGTATTCCTTGACTAAGAAAAACTATGTATTCCTTCACTATGAAATTAATGGGGTTTCCATAAGTTGACTTCTCCATATTCATACTCCATAAGTTCACAGGCAACTTGAAGGCACATACACTTCTGAACACTTGCCTGGGAATAAAGTCCAATTGAAATCCTAAAAGCTCATTTCTGAATACATATTATAGTATTATGCTGTTGTTGTTTAGCAGAAGCCTAAAGCCAATTGTGAGTCCCAACTAGAGTAGACCAATGAATCAACTGCTGAGTAGTATATCAACACATATGGGATGTGTGGAAAGGTTGACGTAGGGCCTTTGCAGACTGCCAGAAATAGTGCAAAGTGAGTCCACTTTAAGGGTTAGGGTTAGGGTTAGGGAATCATGGAACTGTATTTTATTGTGGCACCAGAGCTCTCTGACAGAGAAGGCTCAATGTCTCAGAAAAAAAAATTCCCATGACTCCCTAGCACTAACCCTTACCCTTAAAGTGGACTCAATTTGCACTATTTCTGGCAGTCTGCAAAGGCCCTTATTCAGCAGCTGATGCAGTGAGTATATGCTAGTTAAAACAGTGATGATTTAGACCAGGGGCAGGCAACCTTTCTCAG